ACATCACAAAAAGTATAAATGAAATGATTCATTATCACAGAAGTCTTTTATGTTGCCTCAAATCCCTTCTGGAAGGAGGTCAGGTGTAAATCAGTCAGAAGGGCCTCATATACCCAACAGTGAAAAACAACTTAAGATGAGAGAGAAATAAGATGACTGTAAAAGGATTTTTTTTTTAAGCACAGAAGACCACAAAAATATTAATGCTACTTATTCGTCATTGGTACCTAATCACGTCAAATATGTATCTATGCCTGAAGGCCTTACCCACAAGGAAACCTGGTGCTGCCTAAGTTCAAAAGCTAATTCAAACACCAAGGAAGTCTTTGGATATGGTGGCTCCTGTGGACAACCGTCTGACCTGTTCAGAGTTATATGCCAGTCTTGGCGTTTGCTGCTAACCTAGTCTCACAGCGCACCAATTACTGCTCATTTGATTGGGCGAAACTGAAGTCTCCTAACCAAGGTGTGACCTGAACTTAATTATTTACAAGGCAATCACTGGTTAGAAAATTCTTTAGCTTTTGGCACTTGTTCAACCAAATTCATAAACACAGATGACCTTTAAGTTCCAGGACTGGTAAAATTCTAATTGGGGAACCAGGAGGGGAATCCTCAAGCTATAAGGACATTCTCATTTAAACTATTCTAACCTTGCCATGTCTTTTACATTTTTCCTTAAATCTAACTTAGGGGGATAATAGAGAACATACCCACACGAATTTAGCCTGAATGTGGCATTTTGAAGGAAAACCCCAGCTGAGTACACATGAGTGTGTTCAGCTTTGCCAGAAGAGAATAGTTATGCATTATACATGGACTATAAAGACATTTCTTGTAAGCCTTACTTTAAAATGTTTGAATTTTAGAACTTAAAATGTTCCATGTGTTTAGTATTTCTTGTTCAATTAAACTAAAGAAAACTGGTCGAAAATTCAGTCTTAGCATACGTGTGGTATATTTCAGGAATGTTTAATATATGATTATTTCTGTAGCTGGTGTTTGTGAACATAACTTTCATACGTATGACTGGCTGTAGACAAAGGGTCATTTTTTTCACTATTTATCTAGTACCTACTATGTGCCTGCTGGGGAGATACACTAGCAAGCAAAGTCCATGCCTTCCAGGAAACAGACCACGAATGCATCCACAAATAAATATGATCTAATATCAGGGAATGACATCTTTCTTGCATAATCTAAGCAGGGAAAGGGGATGTAGGTAGGGCTGCTACTTAAGAAGGAAAACCTCTCCAGGAAGTCTTACTTGAATAAGACCTTAGAGGATTCCTTTTGGTTATCTGGGGAAGGATAGCTCCAGGCAGATGGAGTGCCCAAGGCACTGTGGGATTCCTGGAAAAGCCTGAAGGCCATGTGGCCTGGGCAGTGAGAGCGAGAGGGGGAGCTAACCATGGGAAATGAGGTTTTACATAAAACCATATGTCACAGGCTTCCTGGTGGCCTAGACTCGGATGACCCACTGACTTCACAGTCCAGTTTCATTTTCTAGATGTTCTAACAATGATAATGTATTGCAAGGAGAGCTTGCTATCAAACTACGATCTCATTAAGTTTCACCAACACCACGTAAAAATGGATTTTTGTAAGTTTAATCTCCTGGCTCCATTTACCTAAGCTTTTCTCCTGACTGACTGTCCTTCTTACTCCTAGCCCTAATTTCTCCCATATATTACTGCTTAGTTGAAGCCGTGCCTCCTGGAAGCATTTTGTCCTGACTTCTCTGTCCTGACTTCACTAAGTGGCTTTTCTGGCTCTGTGACTTTTACCCAGCTCCCTACTGTCCAGATTGGTGTTGCCTTGCGAGAACCCTGAAAGGATTTGTGTGTAATTCAAGTTGTGTTTTCCCAGTAAGAGTATTTGTAACTTCCATTCGATTTTAAATGAGCCTGTGACTTACAACGTTTGAAAACCACTACTCATGATTAATGTTTCTCAAGCATCACATGTGCTCAGGATCTATATTTCATTAAAATGAAGACTCTGATACACTGGTTCTGGAGAGGGGCTTGGAACCGCTGCTTCCAGGACCATATTTGGTGGCAAGAGGCTCAGAATGTTTCTAGTTAGCCCTAGCTTATACACACTGGCGTGTTGCCCTCTGTCCCATAGTGGATTGCAGGTTTCTGGTCAGCCAGGGTTCTGCTGACACTTGTTGGCTCTTCTCCCACAGTTGAGACTAATAAAAACATAGCCCACCCTTCTGCCTGACGGGAGCTTGCTCTACAGATAGTAGTGCCTGAATTGAACCTGATTAAATATCTGTTCTCTTTATCTCTTTATGCCCACTTTCTTAGTCTCTCTGAGGCTTCTAAGGTTACCACCAACTTTTCAAGGCTAAACCTTTCTGTAATTCAAAGCAGAATCCCAAAACCTCTAAAATCTCCCTAAAGCAAAGCATTTCTCTACAATATCGAAATCAAACTCTGTCAGCCCTAAAAGTCACCATAGGAAATGCACTCGTTTGAAAGGATCAGTCACTTTATAGGGGCAGACTCCTTCACTTCTTCACTCACTGTTCAGTGCCAAGATATTCAGTTAAATAAATAGCATGGAGCCTCAAAGAAGCCAGGATAAATCAAATCAGCATCACTAGACCCCTGAAGGGGTAGGTGCTGGATAAATTGTTTAGAGCCCAGAGTACAGTCTCATAAAGAAAGGGCAGAGGGAAAATTTCTGGAAAGTCAGAGAGGTTGTAAAAATGTGAAAATGAGGTTTTGAAATAAAGTTGCTACCTCAAACTACCTGTCACTCTATATTTACACAAAGCTGTAAAAAGTTACTTGCCTACTCATGTGGAAATAAAATGTTTTAACAACAGCTAACAATAGGGCAAATGAAAAAAAAAGTTAACACACAAGACATATGTGTAAGGAATGTCTGTGTATGCAAAAGGAATTTTTCATATGGTGTTTAATAAATATATACATACTACTTGTACTCGTAAAAATACCATTTGCAATGAAAGCTATGCATAAATATTTATAAAAATACTTTTATCTAAGTAGGCCAATACTATTTAACATTTTTCAATAAATTCATACATAAAAATATACATTAGTGCCAAGTGGAACATATATTTTGAAATATGAACCCCGAGTAAAACTCCCTGGAATCTGGAGTAAGATCCAGGTATCTGCCAAAGGAAACTTAGGAGCAGCTGTCATTTAAAGAAAGGAAATCATGCCCGGTCTCTTATCTTCATGGGCTGTTTTTCTTGTCAGCTCTAAGGGCACTTCAGCAGAGTCTGACTTTAACTTCCAACCTCATGGCCATTTGACCTAGCAGCTTTTTTTTTTTTTTAGGCTTTTAACACTCCACCCAAACACTTTGCTCCAAAGCAGCGTGTCCCTTTCCTTTACACTTCACCCTAATGTCACCCTTGGTTTACAACTCGGCTTAACGTGCATTCACTCTGGAAGGTTTGATTCAGACCCAGGCGCTCTGCGGCGCCGACCTGAGGCTGACACCACTCTGAATTCAAAGTCAAGGTTCGCTGTGTAGTGCCAGGATTTCCATCCAACCTGAGAGACTTGGGGCCGGGCGCCCGACTCTCCCAGGGTCCAGCCCCTACCCAGGTCGACCACGCAGGCTGGGACCTCGGAGCCGGAAAACGCCGCCCTTTCCTGTCGCCTACTACTTCCACAGGCCCCACGGCTGGAGGAGGAAGAGATGGAGACGGATGAAGAAAATTAATTAACCGGGTGCGCGCCTGGCCCCCGGGCGGCGGGAGGGGCGCTGCGGAGGTTGCGGGAGTGACCGGCGGGCACAGGTGCCGCGGAGGGCGGAATGTGACTCTCGCAGGCCGCCAGCTGCGCCACTTGCGCCTCGTCGCGCGCCTGGGCAGCCGTCGCCCGCTGGCTCCAGCGTTGGGCAAGTCTCTCTTACGGTCCCCGCAAGAGTGGAAACCGCCTCCCCTTGAACTGGAAAAACCTGCAGCGTCGGCTGTTCGCGTGCCCACACGCTCGGCCCGGAGCCCCCAGCGTCTACAGAGTGCCAAATCCACTTTCCGGGTTTTGGCGGCAACTTCAGGGGCAACGAGCTGGAAACCGACACAAACACCCACCCACCCACCCACCTGAGCCACTCGTGGGCGTGGGGCCCGCGGCCGGACCTGGGCGGCCCAGTGGCTCGTTTCCGAGTCACCCGCCAGCCACGCCAGCTAGGTTAGATTTAGGGGTGGAGGTGGGTGCAGGAGGTTTACTGCAGGTGTGTGGGATGTGGGTGGAGTCCCTTTGTCCTCGGGCATCCACAGGCGCTAGCACCCCGGGTTTCGGGGATCCCCGGGATCTCTAGGAACCGAGCTTCCTGCGACCTTCCTTTGTGCCGAAGAAGCGAAAAGAGGGAGCTTCTCCGAGAGAAGCTGCACCCCCGAGGGTGGCGCTGGAGTGGTAACAATGGACGTCCATTGTCCTCCGAGAGCCGGGAGGCCCAGCGGCGGGTGACCCGCTCGCGCCCAGGGCTGGCGCAGGTAGCGCGCGGGTGCGAGGGCTGGACCCCGGCCGGAG